GAAAAAACCCTCTAATCGATCATCTCGACATCAAGATGTATGAATATGAAAAAAAAAGTTTTTGAGTCCCGGAAATTGTGCATCTTGCAACACATTATCTAGACCGTTCATTTTCAAGATTTTCATATATTTATAGATCTACTTGATTTTAACCATTTTTGGATTTTAAAATTTTCTAATTAGGTATGAAAATAGATTTTAAGATAATACTAAGAATTTTTTACAACAAAATTATATGTTATGATAAAATTTTAAGGTGTGCCTTAATTGCATTGTTTAAGGTTGCAACCTTATAGAAACCGCACCCTATATATATACATATATGGCTAATACTATACAAGTTCCCCACTGCCCATGTTTTTGATTTTAGGTCTCCTTTATTAGGGCCATTTTTTTGCACAGACATCCTTTGGACCCCAGCAAATGTCCCCATGAAAAAATTTGACAAACATGAAAAAATGGTTTTAGGAAGAGAGTGACTATTTTTCATTGTCAGCCATTTGTTTTGGTACATGTTAGATATACCATTACATTGGTTCGAAATCACCTTATTTCTTCTTTTTGAAATTGATCCTCTAATGTTCTTAGGATCATCCCCAAAAAGTGGCCCTCAAATGATACACTTAACCCCAAAAAAAGGGGTTGTAGCAAACTTCTACAATGACTTTATTAGAGGAGCTGTTTTTTAGTCCTTTGGATGTTTAATGGCTTTGTTGCTGCTTTTCATCGCTTTGAACTCCTTTTGTCCTTTATAGGAAAAGGGGGGAAGCAATTAATTGGTTTCTTGGCTTGCACTACCGATACTTTGGGCAAGCGCTTGTGGTTTTTCTCGGAGAGTCTTTACTTACGAAGTCAACTCCTGAAGTTACATCTAGCCTATAGCTAACCGAAGTGTTTCCCATATGTATGTGGGAGCACGCTACAGGAGCATGCTGGATGCTTACTTCCTCGGGCAAAAGTGCTACTTGAATGTATTTTTTCAATATGGAGTTTGGGATCTCCCAAGAAGTACCAGATGACTATTTTCAAGAAAAAAAGAAGGATTTTGAGTTCTTAAACACATTTAGTTTTGACAGTCCATACTCGAGGAACTGATTGGAGAAAATGCTCCCACAGGAGTGTGACTTCATATTTAATTTGCTTTAGAAGGCTGCATTCTTTGCTCAGGATTTATCTTATGCTTATATTTTCTGATTGTTTAGACACTGAATTATGGTAATCTCTCCAGTGCATGATTTATTAATGTTATTTGGATGCATCTGACCACTGTAAATCTTAATTGCAGTAATTGCTGGATTGAAGGAGAAATATGATGAGGCAATTCGAAGAGATGATGTCAAGGCCATTGTCCTTGTTGGTATGATGTATGAGTTACTATTTATCATGCTCAAAATGATGGTTCACCCAGGATTTTTACTTGTAGCTGGCATGCTAGAAATACACAAATTTCAATGTTCTAAGAATGCTTTGGTATATTATGTTTTTTGATATTACTCTGCATATAAAAAACATGGTGTTTTTTTTTCTTTTTTCTTTTTCTAGTGGTATGGGATTTGAACTGTTACAATGTGTGACTGCTTATAAGTAAAGGAACTAAAATGATAAATAATGTATTTTTCCTCTTCTTTTGAAGGTGAGGGTGGTAAGTTTTGTGGTGGATTCGACATAAATGTAATGCAACGGGTCCAAAAGACTGGTGAGATATCGCTAGTCTGAGTGCTTGACTGATTGATCAGGAAAAAGAATTGAGTTCTTGTATGATTTTTTTTACTGTTACATGTTTTTGGACCTAAGGATGCATGTGAGTCACGATTTTTATGTCTTACAGGAGAAAGATCAACTCCACCTGGCATCTCTGTTGTACTTCTCAATGACACTATTGAAGGTTTATCTCTGATTCTCCCTTTGCATGTTAGTTGACTCTGTAATCATTTTATTTATTTGTATTTGTCATACACTGAGTTTGATGGTTATTGGATAAGTGTGTTTTTCTCTTTGGATAGTCAACTTTATTCAGATTCCATGCTTTTTGCTAGTAGTTTGTTTATGCCTAATATTCTCTTCAGCTGCTAGAAAGCCCTCCGTAGCAGCTATTCAAGGTCTTGCACTTGGCGGTGGCCTGGAGTTAGCAATGGTTTGTCTCTTATTCCTTTTTTTTTCTGCTTGTTTTCTGTTTTGTCTTAGTTTGATGGTTCTGTGTATAACATCATCCACTGTGTAATTATTATTTGCAGGCATGCAATGCAAGGATATCCACTCCAAAAGCTCAACTTGGCCTTCCAGAACTGACACTTGGAATAATTCCTGGGTTGGGAGGTAACCATCATGTTCCTTTCTTTTACTTTTTGAAGTTCATTAATCATCAAATATTCATTTGTTTCCTGGTTTTATGGTATTTGGTTGGCGCTTTATTTACGATTAATTTAATGTTGGCTGTCTTAAATGTCGTCAAATTCATTGCTGGTTTCATTAAAAAACTCATGAATTCTTAAAAGGTACACAACGCCTTCCAAGACTCGTAGGATTGTCAAAGGCTATCGAAATGATGCTGGTGAGTCTTCCATATCCATCTTTACATTGAAACGATTCAGTACTCCATTACATTCAGTATTTTTAATTGATTTCGAATTCCTTGACCTATATACCTTTGGATATGATAATTACTAAAGGGCAAACAATCTCATGTAGGTATCGTGGGGATATTCAGTTCTTTAACACATCTATGGCCTTGTCTGGAAATTCATGTGTAGTTTTTTGTGGATGTTGTTTGGCTTTATACTTCTTAAAATGGATGATTGTTAATGGTTTCTGATCATGTTGTTTGGTCCTGACTATTAGTCCATATAATTAAGCAAACCCAATTTATCCCTTTGCGAGACATCAAATCTAGGTTGATGATAATGAAATTTATCTTGATGGAGAGCTGATATGAGTACATTATGTTTGATAAGCTATGCGTGGCATTATGTAGCAACTTTGTGATGTTTTTAATTTGAAAGTATGAATTTCAGACCATTTTTGTGCCATCAACCAGGCTTCATTGAACTTCTGGTGTCAAACATTCATGTTATGTTATTTTTTACTCTTGGGTATCGATGCATTTTTTTCACATGCTATGCTTTTAAGGTGTTGAATGGTATCTCTTATTTCCTTTCAGTTATCCAAATCGATAACATCTGATGAGGGCAAGAAGCTTGGGTTGATTGATGAAATTGTACCTGCTGATGAGTTGTTGAGAATATCAAGAAAGTGGGCTTTGGATATCTCTGAGAGGCGCAAGCCTTGGCTAATCTCCCTTCATCGGACTGATAAACTTGGCTCTCTTTCTGAAGCTCGTGAGACATTGAAAATCGCTAGGCAGCAAGCAGCAAGAATTGCTCCAAATATGCCACAACACCAAGTTTGTCTTGACGTGATTGAAGAAGGAATTGTATCAGGAGGATATGCAGGCGTCGTAAAAGTACGTGAGGTTTCAATGTTCTCCAAATAATAGAGTTTTTCTGCTGGATCTGTCTTTTAGGCGATGGTTTTCGGTTGATAAGAATGGCTTATCTATAAACAATCAATTTGGTTTCCATGTCCTTCATGATATTGCACACTGTTTTTCGTTGTTTCCATGTGGTCATGCTTATTAAGATAGAATTGTTTGTGTTTATGAAGCATGATATCTAAACAAGGCTTTTGCCTCAGGAAGCAGAACTTTCCAAAGAGTTAGTTGTATCTGATATCGCAAGAGGTCTTATGCATGCATTCTTTGCTCAACGGGCAACTTCAAAGGTACATCTCTAACTTACTATGATTGTCTTATGGTGCTATGTCTGGATTGATTATAATATTTGTCACTTCTATCCTATGTTAAAATTTCATGGGTGATGCATTCTCCTTCTTCTGTACGTAAGGATTCAATACTGGTTCCTGCAGTACGTCTTGGTAGTACTCTGGGCTTTCTTTGCTAGGTTTCTGAATCTGGCTTATATGATTGAAACGAGAAGCTGTCCATTATAGAACTATTGCTTCTCAACTTTCTTAGCATCCAAGAAAAATCAACATGGGGAACCCTATTCAACTGTTGCTGGTCCTTGGTTGTTTTTGCTAGTATTATTAAAATTGATATTAAACTTTAATAAAGTAATGGGAAGACACTGTGGTCGTTTCTCCTGGGTTACAGGTGATAAACCTCCACAATCGGCCTCAAGTCTGTTTTCTTTTGATAGCTTAGCTGGGTTTAAACCTCCCCAATACTCTTGCCAAGACACTAACCTGAATTCTCAGGTATAAGCAGCCATTCACATTAATTATAATAAAATAAGTATCTGCGTACTCAGTCATGTTTATTTGTGGCTCCTCCCTTCCCGTCACCTTCAGAAGACCATATATTTGCTGTATTTCCAGTTTCCCCAACTTCTCAAATCCTGAGAAGTAAAGAGCCCAAAAAGATTCCCGTCTTTTCTAATTTTGAAATTCGAACCCAGCTCAATAGTACACCAGTAGATGAGGAATTCAGTCTTCTAGTACGCAAAAGTAGAGACCTATGTTCCTGAGATGCCTACAGGTCTCCAATCAACCTGTCTGGTGGGTTCTAACCTCAAAAAGTGGGACACAGGAATCTAACTCCTAATCGGCTCCATTGGAAAGGACTATGTTCTTCATCCTCTAGAAAAGAAGAAAATAATAATAACACACATTTGATAACTTCTTTGTTGTCGCATGCCCCGTCAAAATTCTGCACTTTTGGAAATCAAACTTGAAGGAAATTTTATAATCAATAGTTTGAGAAGTTCAAAGAATATGGTAAAAATATCTGGCTTGTGATACATGTTATATATTGCTTGAAGGAAGTGCTTCTCTACTACCTTACTTTTTCTCAAAATATCCTAAACTTATGGATTGTGCAGATACCCGGTGTAACTGATATTGGACTAAGACCCAGGCCAATCAAGAAAGTTGCAGTTATTGGTGGGGGTTTGATGGGGTCTGGCATTGCTACGGCTCTTATCCTAAGCAATACTCGTGTCATTCTCAAGGAAGTCAATTCTAACTATCTACAACAAGGAATTGACAGAATTTCTGGTAAAACCATTCAATTGATGTTAGCTGCGTTTCTGTTTTCTCATAATCCTAAGTGTTGAATGGCTGGTTTCATACAAAATAGATAGGGGCTTGCCTCGTGTTTCATGGGAGACACTTCCATAAATGCTATTTATTATGCTCATGCTTGTATATTATGAAAATTACTTCACGAAATGCTAATCTATTGGAAAATCATATATGTTCTATATTTCAATGTTTCATGAAACAACAAGGAGTAATGTGCCTTTCAACTTTTTTTTTTGGGTGGAAACAAAGCATTTGGGGGGATCACTTTTTACGGAATGATGAAATATGCATATGCAGAAGAATTCTCTGACGATATTCTTGATAGATTCGGCAGCGATTCAGTAGTGTACAGGTTGGCCATTGTGAAGAACAATGGACCTAATTTAAGTGAATAGATGAATTAATTTTGTTTAGGGCACCAATTTACAAAACCAACTCTCCCAATAAGACTGCGGTGTTCATTACATGCCTGGTTTCTAATAGGGAATCTTAATGCTTCCAGTTCTTCTTTGGGAAGAATGGAGAATCCAAAAATCCTTGAGAGGTCAACACTTGCACCAATTCATTGGCAATTGTTTTTATTCGTCGCTTAAATCTCATGGTTGGAGTTCCCGTTTCTTTTTCGATTTAATGTGTCCTCTCATCATCTCTTTGGTTGATGTCGATTTTTCATCTTTTTCTTATGTTCTATTGTGATGAACTTAGATTTCGTAATGAATAAGTTCTATTAGGGTCCTAAATGTATAAAAATATATCCTATCATTCTGGGCACTCGAGTCAGGTCTTGTTTCAAAAACTTTGATGTTTTTCATTGTCTTTACTTATGGTTGTAATGAAAGTACAAAATTTTTTTGCATGCATTTATTTGGAATTGGTTGCTCTTCTTGTTGGGGTTGGCTTGGTATCACCTCATTAAGCATCATTTTTTTTGCATCTTTTATGGGAGACTGATTTCTGTGCCCTTATATCAGCAAATCTAAAGGGTCTAGTTGAAAAAGGAACTATGTCAAAAGATAAGTTCGACAAGTCCATGTCTCTTGTCAAAGGTGTCCTGGATTACTCAGAGTTTAGTACAGTGGATATGGTCATCGAGGTAAGATTTGGAACAGGTTTGCAGTTTTTATAAGGTATCTGTTTGGGGTTTAGATCTTTATCTATGCATGTACCTGATCTGGAATGTATTCACTGCCCTGGCTTGGTTCAAACTTAGGTATTCTAGTATATAATAGGCACTCTTTGTGATGCTCAAAATTGTTCACTTTGTGGATAAGAGACCAAAAGTGCCAATATTGCATTGTGTATTTTTCCAGCTAATGTGAAAGGAACAAACATGGGTGTCTAACACGGGCACAATTGTCAGAAACGATAACTTCAAATATAGCCTTCAGAAACAAAACGTTTGTATTATGTTTGAATTATAAAATTTTCATATATTGGACAAGTCCTTGAGATCTAAAAATTAGGACTAGATATACAAATATTTTACATTAAAATTTAGAGATATTTTTAATTGTTCCTTCTTAAAAAGAGGTGTACATATAGTGATGTGCCTGGTGAAATATCCACCCCACCTTTTGTGTGGAACTAGTAAGACAAGTGGAGTAAGTTTCAAGGAGGGGGAAGAACAACTTGTCTTTTGTTATAAGTCAACTCCTTTTAAAAGTACATGGCCTCATGTAAACCTTATTATGTGTGATAAGTAAATAATAAAATACTGTTTAATATGCAGAAGTAAAGAGCATGTTATTTTTCTATTTTATTTGGTATTTCACCTCCTGTAGAGCATGTATCTAAAAAACATGCACGATACATTTCCATACATTTCATTTATGTGTGTCAAAATGTGTCCAAGTACACTGCATTTTGTGAAGGGTGAAGCTTGGAATTATTTTGTTGAGTTACATAGGTTTCTGGACATCTAGGGACAATTTTTTGCGTACGAAAAAATAACCAATATACAATGGTCGAACATGGTTGTACATGATGTGAGATACCTTGCATCCTAAGCTATTTTTCCTTGATTGATCCCTTTAAGTTGCTTGAAGTGTTCAACTTATTTAAATGATTGCTATCAGAATTTCCTATTGTTAGACAATGCTTGGACTTTATGAATATCAGTGTGACTTTTGTGTTTTTCCTGATGCAACTCTCTAGGCTGTTGTTGAAAACGTTTCTTTGAAGCAGTCACTATTTAATACGTTTGAGAAGGAGTGTCCTCCTCATTGTATTTTGGCAACAAACACATCTACTATTGATCTCAATTTGGTTGGAGCAAGGACAAATTCCCACAGTCGCATAGTCGGGGCACACTTCTTCAGGTTTGTGATTCTTTTTCTTGTTAGTTTATGTACTACTCCTTTGACACTAGCTGCATGTATCAAGCATGTGACTAAGTATGTCTCACCATTCTTCAGAGAGCCATTGTGGTGCTTAACTTCAAACAGGCAGACTCTTGTTTTACCAGAGAAAAGATTTTTTAACCTGTCATAATAAGGGGGAAAAAATTAAAAAGAAAATAATGAGTTTGTGAAAATAGAATTTTAGGATGATATTCAACATAATGATTTAGCTTTTTTTCTTTTTTTCTTTTTTTCTTTTTTTCTTTTATTTGTAGATTTGGTATTTCCAATCTTGTGTATTTTAGCAATGAAAAGTGTATATGCATTGATCAAGAAAAACTAGAAAATAATATATATGTCCTAATGTCCATTTTTCTGAAAAATTTCTTGGCATGCTAACAATTTTTCAACACCCTTTGATTTTTTTGCATTATATCTTAGATGACACTGGTGCTTCTCAAAATTCTCTAAGGGATAGCCATGCCACCTACTTCCCACCATGGGGAAAACATGCAGAATATCCTTACATATTGCATATTACTTAAAGTCTTAAAAAAGTGCTTTTCTTTCGTTTTATACAGATTCACAGATTATCTTACTCCTCCATTATTTCTTGGAGTCTATCATTGCTCCCATTGTTCCAATTACTCAACCGTAGTTCAACAATGAATGGTAGTGTCGAGAAATAGCATAGCACAATGAGGATCTCATAAACTGTAATTGTTGTATACCTTTACCTCAGGGTGCGTACATATGTCAATAGGTTTCATCGGTGGAGTTGAAAACCGGAGGTTCTTGAGAGTATTAAATGTTTGGTATTAACGTTTTTGTACCTTGAATGATGCATAAGGGATTCTTGTGATCCAGCTTGCTTGAAGGATGGGCATTTGAGATAAGTCGGTCCCTTGGGAAAGATTTGAAGTGGGAGCATGGATGTTCCTTTGAACACAATAGCAGTAATTTTCAAATAGCTATTTGCCTAGGGACCATAATATCTGGATATTCGTATCTAACCTACTTAGCCGACCCCAATTAGCTGAGAAAAGGCTTTGATGATGAATTTTATATAACCTGCTTCTGTCGACATGATGTGACACCGATACTAATACCCAATACGCCAGGATACTCCTATATATATATTCATCTAAATATGTAAATACAATGAGAATAAAACATAATATTCATTATGATGTGTTTGTACATATATGTATATGTGAGAAGTACATATGCATGCTCACATGTATATATTAACATATCACATACATGTGGCATTTTATAAACTGTAACATATAATTCTTTACATATAAATCTTTTTGTCAGATATCCTTATGTATCCTGAATTTTATGAAATTCTGAATCTTAAGTGCTCCTGCCTGTGTACATTTCCTTATCCAAATCTAGACATCCTAACTTACCCAAAAAAAAAAATCTACTCATTCTAGGGAAAGAGGCTGAGGTCGTGGTGTTTTATAAGTTGTAACATATAAATCTTTCTATCATATATCCTCATGTATCCTGAATTTTATGAAATTCATCATCATCATCATCATCATTTTAGCCTTTTCCCAATTAATTGAGGTCAGCTACATGAATCCTGGTTCTATTCCTGATGGGTTTTGGCAAAATTTTACGTTGGCTGCCTACCTAACACAACCATGCCCATTTACCCGGGCATGAGATGGGTTAAGGGAAAGTTTAAGGTCATCAACCCTCTTAGACCAAAGTTTAAGGTCATCATCCTGAACTTTATGAAATTCTGAATCGTAAATGCTCTTGTCTGTGTACATTTCCTTATCCAAATCCACACATTCTAGGGAAAGGGGCTGAGGTCGTGGTGGTAGCACCCCACACCCTAGTCACTACATTGTGGTTTCCATTTCCACCACTAAAACCACCCTACTAATACCTTAAAAAAGTGAACTCTTAATCTACTTGACAAAACGGGTAGGGGCCTGTCTTCCCCACTGAATTACCCAAAAACAAAAAAACACATCTACACATTCTAGCCTGGGGATCACCCCACAAGCACTATCTAGAGCAAAGATGTTACTTTGGAAGGCTGCAACTCTGAGGTACTTTTAAATCCTTGACACATGCAGTAGCTGCCTCCTTTCAATTGTAGCTGTTTATTTTTACTTTTTAGATTTGACCAATCAAAAAAAAAAAAACTCTTTTGATTGGATATGTATCTTGAAAAAAATCCTGGTAAAGGTTATCTTGGTCCAATTACTATTTGAATTGATTATACGAATGGTGGGTCCTTTTATTAGCATACATTTATTTGCTTTTGTCTGTGTGCTCTCTACTGAATTGTTTTGTTGTGGTGCACTTTCATGAACAGCCCTGCACATGTGATGCCCCTGCTAGAAATTGTTCGGTCAGAGAAGACTTCCTCACAAGTGATTCTCGATCTGATGACTGTTGGAAAGGCCATAAAAAAAGTCCCTGTTGTAGTAGGAAACTGTACGGGATTTGCTGTTAATCGAACCTTCTTCCCTTATGGTCAAAGCGCAAATTTGTTGGTGCACCTAGGCGTCGATTTGTTCAGAGTTGACAGAGTAATCAGCAGTTTTGGAATGCCGATGGGACCTTTCCAGTAATTATTCTCTCCATGATGAGAGAGAGAGAGAGAGAGAGAGAGAGAGAGAGAGAGAGAGATTCTCATTTCGAATTGGTTTTTGCTGGGGCTGGAATGAGAGAGATTCACATTCCAAAATGGCTGGGGTTGAAATGAGAGATTCATATTTCACATGTTCTTTGCTGGAACCAAATTTTGGATTTTGGACCATAATCAATCCCACACAATTTCTGAACCAATTACACTTATTTGAGAACCAGGAAACGTGACCGTGATTCAGAATTTCGATAAAATGGGAGTACCATTTATAGAAGAAATATCTTGAAAGAAGGCAAAAAATACTGCATAAACCATTGGACTATGGAAAACTATTGTTGGGTCATGCTGAGCCATTTAACATATGGAGGGTATTGGAACGTGTGATCCACCATAAGAGATCATTAACCCAATGGTTTTCAAAGGATTGTGATAAATCTAATGGTTTTCCTATGGTCTATCGTATTATACTGTAGTTTCACTTGAATTTATAATTCTAAGATATTCATTATATGGGCTCTGGTTTCCATGAGGGTTGACTGTGATTAAGTTTAACTTACGAACCAAAAGAAAGGAAAATTGGTGTTGGGGGAAGGGGTTTGTTTTTGGAGAGGGGGGGGATGGTGGGGATGATGATTCTGATTTTTCAGCCAAAAATTAGCCCCAGGTTTAAAGAAATGAATTTTCTGTTGCTGTCTATGATGAAAATTGGGCTTGAATATTTATACCCCCCTTGACCACCTTCACAGGCTCCAAGATTTGGGTGGATATTATGTTGCGGTAGCAACATCAAAAGAGATTGCTTCAGCCTTTGAAGGTCGCACTTTCATCTTTCCATTAGTTCAAATCATGATGGAAAAGGGGCGATCAGGTACTCAGTCATTTCGTTGCCAACTTGAAGTTTTAAGTGCCTTTCTGGTGCTATTTCATGTCTTTCTCTAGCTTAGTTATAATGCTTTAACTGTCCAAGTATGTAGGATTTCCATCAATAGATGTACTTTTGGTTGCAGGGAAGAAGAATGGGAAGGGATACTATCTGTATGAGAAGGGGAGTAAACCAAAAGTTGATCCCAATGTGCTACCCATCATTGAGGAGTCCAGGAAGCGAGTGAACATATTGCCTGGAGGAAAGGTCTCTCTCTCTCTCTCTCTGTCTCCATGCACTCATTTATATGTATGTGTTGTGGGCGTCTCAGTGTCCCATTACATTCATACATACATGCGTCTATGAATATGTTTAAACCATTGATTTACTAATTAACAGGATGGATGTGTGTGTAGTTTCATACTACGTGAATCTTTTGTTGAAATTAGCATTTTCTCTTAGTTCACGCGCTTATGATAAATTATAGAAGATAACCCTCAATTTAGCAAGTGTGGCATTTGAGGGGCAAATGTTTAACTTCTCCCTCGTAAGTTCTTCTCAGCCTTCTTCTAAGCCTCTTACTTCTCTACTTCTGGGAAACTCTCTCTCTCTCTCTCCTCTCTCTCTCTCTCTCTCTCTCTCTCTCTCTCTCTCTCTCTCTCTACTCTCTACTCTACTACTACGTACTACTACGTACGTACGTACGTACG